GGTTTGAGGGAAATAGAGTCAACCCCTTCTGTTGTTTGTTTTAAATGGGTTATATTTGGTGGACGTATAAAACATTTGAGATATGATAATGGCCAATGAGGGACAGTAGCTTTGGAAATGGGAAAGAGTGAATGGGAAATCACCTTTCATAAGCAGCCCTGACACAGACACAGTTTAGGAGTAATTGAGAATGCAGTAAAAGTATTACAGAACTTCTAATTCAGATGACTGAGAGGGCAAAGGCGCTATTACTACTTTCTACTCTCCCTAAGTGCGTTGTGAAGGAAAACTAGAAGGTGGTTCGTAGTACTGGGGCAGGTTGTGGACTTTTTCATTTTTCCAATGTATAGGAAGTTTTTTTTTTCAGTTGAATCAGGGAATTGGAAATGCTGCTGTTTTCAGTACTAGATTGTGCTGAGATAAAAATTATTTCTATTTTTAACAGATTTGGCCAGTAGAATTAAATAAAAAGGAAGCTGTTTCTAAAAAATTCTGAGAGGATGAAAAGCTTTTCATATTGTGATAGCTGTACACAGTGATTTTAACCTGTATTCTAGCAGTAAGGAGGAATATTGAGGAATCAGATGTCTTTTATGTGTTTATCAAAGTGAAGAAAATGCAGTCATTAAAAGGACAAAAGATAGGGCAGTGTAGTCTGTTCAAAAAAAGTGTCTATTTGAGCCGCCCTGTGGCCTTGTGGGTAAGTTTGGCACAGCCTGCTTCCGCGGCCCAGGTTCGGTTCCCGGGTGCAGACCTATACCACTTGTCAGTGGCCCTACTGTGGCAGTGACCCACATACAAAATAGAGGAAGATTGGCACACATGTTAGCTCAGGGCCAGTCTTCCTCAAGCAAAAAGAAGAGGATTGGCAATAGATCTTAGCTCAGGGTGAATCTTCCTCAGTAACAACAGTAACAAAAGTTTGTTAGGAGAAAAGCAAAATTCTCTTTCTATGAAGAGGCAGGGACTTGTGTCTTCTGCCTATCTTTTCCTAACTCTCCCTTGTCTGCTCTTGTGGAGACATAGTCATACACATTTTATAAACTACAGGGAAACGTTTGATTTTCATATAAGGACACTATAGAGAGCTAGCTATGCATGAAGCTCCAACGTTCACATTGCAAAGAGACTCAAAATTTCACTGATAGAACAAATGCATCCAAAGAAATTTTCAGAGGGCTGAAGGGAGAAGGAAACTAGCAGGAAGAAAGGAAAGAAGGAGTCATCACAGTATCATCATCAGATACTTATTGCATATCTATAATACCCTTGAAATTATATTATGTATTAACTTGTTTCTTATCTGACTCTTCTACTATAACGTAGTCTCAATGAGGACAGAGATTTTTGTCTCTTTTATTCAGTGATATGTGCTAAGTAGAAGCTGCTCAATAAATATTTGAATAAAGAAATGAATAGGTGAATAAATTTTGCATCTACTATGGCTGTGACACTTGTCAAAAAGAATAAGCAATTAACTATAGCGGAAGTCACTAACCCTAGGAGTTTGTAATGTAAAATGGTTAATGTGGTTGCAGATCTCGTATAACATTTTATAGGAAAAATCAATGATGAAATATAAGTAAAGAATTATGCCTTGAACTGTATTTTCTTCTTTTATCTTGTCTGGCTGCATGATTATGAGGTGATGTAGTATCATTGAAGACTTTGGAAGAGAACAAAGGAGAAAAAATAAATAGTAGAGCAGCAGAATTGACACTGACAGCAGGGGAGATGCTTGAGTGGGCAGATGCATATCTGTAGAGGAATTGCTTTCTATCAAGAAGGGGTAAAATGGAGTGAAAGTTTCTTACATTCTTGCTCACCTTTGGCCATGGTACTTGCATAGGGAGCAATTGCTTGATTATGTTTTGAGATTCAAATATTTACATGTATAAAAAGTTAATTGTTTTGTGAAATGTTTCAAACATAAAGAAAGGTAAAGACAAAAATATAATGAATACATACATACTCAACACCCATATTGAAAACAAATGTAATGAATACCCAAGTACCTCCCACCCATATTTAACAAATATTTTAATTTTACTTTTCGATTCAGATTTTTAAACAGAAATATAACATGTTGGAGTTGAAAATTTCTTTTAACTTTCTCCAAATAAAAGTTTGCTTTCTGTGAGATAGCAAAATAAACCTTGTTATACGTGGTGCATGAATAAATAAATGAAATAATTTCAATGTGCTTTTTTATTTTAAAACCATTTTAATGATTAAGTAAAAGATTCGGTATAGGTATTTTTTTTGTTGAGAAAGCTTAACACTGTAGGTTGTCAAATGAAAAAGAAGTTTTTTTAAAAAATTTTTTTTAATTGCAGTAACATTGGATTATAACATTATATAGCTTTCAGATGTACATCGTAATATATTTTGAATTCTGTGTAGCTTACATCATGTTCACTACCCAAAAACTAATTATAGTCCCCATCCCCTCACATGTGAGCTTAATCGCCCCTTTTGCCCTCCCCCTCCCTTCCCCTATAGTAACCACCAATCCAATCTCCATTGCTATGTATTTGTTTGTCGTTGTTTTTGTCTTCTACTTATGAGTGAGATCATATGGATTTGACTTTCTCCTTCTGACTAATTTCACTCAGCATAATACCCTCAAGGACCATCCATGTTGTCACAAATGGCCGGATTTCATCATTTCTTATGGCTGAGTAGTATTCCATTGTGTAGAAATACCACATCTTCTTTATCCATTCATCCCTTGATGGGCACCTAGGTTGCTTCCAAGTCTTGGCTATTGTGGATAATGCTTCAGTGAACATAGGGGTGCCTGTATCTTTATGCCTTTGCGTTATCAAGTTCTTTGGATAAATGCCCAGCATTGGGATAGCTGGATCATATGGTAGATCTATTCTTAATTTTCTGAGGATACTCCATTACTGCTTTCCATACTGGCTGCACCAGTTTTCAGTCCCACCAGCAGTGTACAAGGGTTCCCTTCTCTCCACATCCTCTCCAACATTTGTTGTTTCCTGTCTCGTTAATTATAGCCATTCTGACCGGAATGAGGTGATACCTCACTGTAGGTTTGATTTGCATTTCCCTGATAGCTAATGATGTTGACCATCTTTTCATATGCCTCTTGGCCATCTGTATATCTTCTTTGGAGAAATCTCTGTTCAGATCTTTTGCCAATTTTTTAATTGGATTGTTGGGGGTTTTTTTGTTGAGCTGTATGAGTTCTTTGTATATTTTGGATATTAACCCCTTATCTGATGTATGGTTTGCAAATATCTTCTCCCAATTGTTAGGTTGTCTTTTCGTTTTGTTGATGGTTTCCTTTGCTGTGCAGAAGCTTTTTAGTTTAATGTAGTCCCATTTGTTCATCTTTTCTTTTGTTTCCCTTGCCTGGTCAGACATGGGACTTGAAAATATGCTGCTCAGACCAATGTCATAGAGTGTACTGCCTATGTTTTCTTCTAGAAGTTTCATGGTTTCGGGTCTTACATTCAAGTCTTTAATCCATTTTGAGTTGATTTTTGTTCATGGTGTAAGGGAATGGTCTACTTTCATTCTTTTGCATGTGGCTGTCCAGTTTTCCCAACACCATTTATTGAAGAGACTCTCCTCTCTCCATTGTATGCTCTTGGCTCCCTTGTCGAATATTAGCTATCCATAGATGTGTGGGTTTATTTCTGGGCTCTCGATTCTGTTCCATTGATCTGTGCGTCTGTTTTTGTGTCAATACCATGCTGTTTTGGTTACTATGGCTTTGTAGCATATTTTGAAATCAGGGAATGTGATACCTCCAGCTTTGTTCTTTTTTCTCAGGAATCCTTTGGCTATTCGGGGGTCTTTTGTTGTTCCGTAGACAAAGAAGTTTTTAAAAAGTTTAAGAATGATTAGTTCAGTCTCTTTTGAAAAGGAAATTGTTTGCAAATAAAAAGTTGCTGTTTGCTAGGCTAACACTTCACAGTTTTGTACTGTGGGAAACCTTTTCTTGTACCTCTGCTTTGTATATGTAGTTTTTCACTGTGTGGAATTCTATACAAAGAACCTCAGTGCTAAATTGGTAACGGTTATTTTGAGTGGAGAAGATTGGATCATGTAGAATTTGCCATTCTAAATTACTTTGGTAATATTTAAAATTTTGTGTTGTGAACATATATTATTTTGGAATTAAAAAAGGTAAATGTTAAACATAGGTACTTTTAAATTATCTTCTAGAATATAGTATCAAGTTCAACATCTCCTTTTCACAATGGATACTATATGAAAAGAGCAGATGCCCTTCCGTATATCTTATGTATATACGTATCTCACCAGTCAAATAGGCATATTGCTTACTTATATTGCTCTTTACAGTATATTCATAAAATTTATAAGGAAACAATGTTTTCTTTGTTAGATCATGCTGTTAGATAATTTGAAGGAAATTTTTTTTTTATTTTCTTAGCAGAGAATTTTCTCTTTCAAACCCATCATGGTTAATAGTTTTTGTTTTCACACCTTAGATTATGTTGTCTTGGAGGGGTCAGTAATGCTCTGCTATTTTAAAAACTTAGCAGCATGTTAGTAATTTGACAAGCATACTCTGGGTTGTATAAAAACTGTTTACCAGCTGTCACTAGAGAAAATATGTCACATAACTGATTTATGGAATCTAATATGTTATAACTCGGGTTTTTTTGATGATATATGGTTTTTTATTTCTGGGAGTAATCAAACTTTGAGTAAGTCGAAGGCAAAGAATAATAAAATTATCGTTAGATGAAAAATACAACTCTTGACTTTTGCTTTTTCTTTTCCTTAAAATATAGAATGCTTAAGTCTCTGAAGTTTATTAATTATATTTTAATGTAATTAACATTTTAATACTTTAATATAAATTAATTAAAATAATTTGATGTATATTTTATGTTTCGAATGATGAGAAACATAGTTTCAAATGGTACCATGCCTTTTTAAAAATGTTTTTATGATTTTACATTGTTATTATCTCAGTGACCATTCTTTTATATTATTTCTAGATAAAAGAGTGGCTCTGTTTAAACTGTCAAATGCAAAGAGCTCTAGGAGGTGATCTGGCTTCAATTGCATCATCACCCCAGCCCAAACCGAAGACTGGTCCTGCTATTCCCAAGACAGGAGTGAGCAAACCATCCCCACAGTCACAGCAGATTTCTCCGAAGAAGGATACTGCACCCAAACAGGATATCTCAAAGGCACCTGAGTCTAAAACGCCCCCACCACCAGTGAAACAGCCAGCCCTTCATGGTTCTCCCCTAGTCGTGGCTAAGCAATCTCCCATGGCAGAGTCCCCATCCAAGCCAGCCCCTCCCAAAGAGCCTTCTGTCCCATCTGAGCAGGCCAAGATCCCCATGGCTGATGATAAACCAAAGCAGCCCAAGACGGTAAAGCCAGCCATAGACACTGTGTCTTCATCGTCAACAGAAACAAAACCTGACATTCCAACCTCCAGAGTACAGTCACAGGATCAAGAAAAAACAACCCCTGCTCTAAAAACAGACTCTGCCAAACCCTCACAGAGTTTTCCACCAACAGGAGAGAAAGTCACCCCATTTGATTCTAAAGTCATACCTCGTCCTGCATCAGATTCGAAAATTATTTCACATCCTGGGCCTAGTTCAGAGGGCAAAGGTCAAAAACAGTTTGATTCAGTTCAAAAGAGGGAAGAACCCAAGAAAGCACAAACCAAAATAAGTCCTAAGCCAGATGCAAAGCTGATGCTAAAAGGGTCACCAACACCCCTGGACCCACGACCTACCACTGGCCAAACTGCCCCCGCATCTCAACAGCCCCCAAAGCCTCAGGAGCAGTCGAGACGTTTCAGTCTCAATCTGGGAAGTATTACTGATGCCCCTAAATCACAGCCCACAACTCCTCAAGAAACTGTGACTGGAAAACTCTTTGGGTTTGGAGCATCAATCTTCAGCCAGGCATCAAATTTAATCTCCACAGCAGGTCAGCCTGGATCTCATTTACAAAGTGGGTCAGGGGCCCCAACAAAACAAGGCCCTCCTCCTTCACAGCCACCTCCTTCTCAGGGGCCACCCAAACCCACAGATCAGGTACCACTAGCACCTGCAAAGGTTATGCCTGTGGAAAAGGAAACAAAAGCTCCAGTAGCTGAAAAATTAGATCCCAAAGCTGAACAAGTTCCAGCAGTAAAAAGAACAGAAACGGAAAAAAAGCCTCTGCCTATTAAGGATAGCAAACCTTCAACAGCTGAGCCTCAAAAAGCTGTCCTTCCCTCTAAACCGGAGAAAAATCCCAAACCACAATCAGCCTGTCCTCTCTGCAAAACTGAACTCAACCTAGGTTCTAAGGATCCTCCTAACTTCCGCACTTGCACTGAATGCAAGAATCAAGTGTGTAACCTCTGTGGATTTAACCCGACACCACACTTGACTGAGGTAAGTGATGTTATATTACATATGGATGTGACTATATTGTGTTTATTCTGAAATATTTTGGTAGCCAAATTGCTGAGTAAAAAATACATTTTTGGTAAAGAAAATAAATCAGTATTGATATCTTAGAAGTTTCAATTACTTGCTACAGGCTTCCCTGCTTATTAAAAGTTCATGCAATTTGTACTTTTCTGGGTTAATGTACCAGGAGTAAGAAGGTGAAATAAGCTGACAACTTAAAATAACAATTATCCCAATCCTTTATGAATTAACGAGCTATAGTTTTGGAGGACTATCTGATTTTCACTTATAAACACCAAATAAGGGTTGTAATTTACTGTCGCCAATATCTCTGATCCTTCCGGTCTCTTTAATACATTAAAAAAAGAAGTTTGGTTGCAGATCCATAAACAAATAACATTAGATCTGTTATTTTACAAAAATTATTAAGAACTTTGTGTAAGTTAATAATGTCTACTAGAACATATTGGTTCAACTATATTATGCCTAGACTTTTTGTAATTCTATTTGAGGTACAATCTGGCATAAATATAATAGAGCGCTTCATTAAGAACTGTGGAAAGAAAAAAAAGATATCTGGATTTCAGTGACTAATGTCAAGGAAATTTATTTTTTTTCGGGGGGGGATGACAAGAGCAGTTTTTCCACAATGTAAATGACCAAAAAGCAGATGGCAAATTTCTACCTAATATACTCGTAAAAAATGAATCTATAGGCATTAGTAATGTGTTAGGACTATTAGAATATCTGGATCTTGAGAGACTGAGGGGTTAAACAACCGCTGCTGTCTATTTAGATAAGTAACAAGCTTTTTAATAAAGATTTTGTGGTTGGATTTAAAATAATTGTTTATTGCTTTTTATAAAAATCAAAACTACTTAAGGATTATTTTATTCCACTCTCTTGATTTTGTAATTAATTGGAATGGAAAATTGAACAGATTTTTAGCAACTATTCAAAAGAAGCTTTAAGATTCTTGGTGGTGTTTTTGAGTTAAATTTTTTTTAAGAATAAACTGTGGACTATTTTTATTTTTTACTTTTGAAAGATGTTAAGTTGTTTTGACATAACATTATATGAAAGTATTGTCCCTATAGATTTAAGCAGATTTTATCCCCTTTAACTGTGATAAATAATGTTAACTAAGATCCATTTTAAAGGTAGGTAAAATTTGGTTTCTCTCAGCCCTTCAAGAGTTGTAACAAGTATAATTATTACTCACAGAGTTCAGGATTCAATGCAAAAGCAAAACAAAGCATCTTAAATTTCTTCCATATTTTCAGAAGAGTTGTTTTTGGTTGTGTATTCTTGAAGAGGGAGTTTTATTTTCCCTTTACAATTGTATTAATTTCACAGCTTTTAAAAAGTGTACTTTTCAATGAGGAGTCTTATGGTATCAACACCATGCAGTTAGTTTAAATAGTTATCCAATGAACTGCACCACTAAAAACAAAACTATAATGTTTGCATTTAAAGTGTACTTTGTGCTCGCTAAAAAGAAGTGGCATGCGGAAGGACTATAACTTGTGTGTGCATGTGTGTACATACGTTTATGTATACATTTGGGCCATAGTGATTATTAGAATTGTCAGTGTTTGGAGATATGAAATGAGAGCCCTTGGGTAGACAGACAATAAACCTTTCAGGAAAATCTTTGATTTGTTATGTTGGTAAATTATATTTTAGAGGTAGTAATTTGGAAAGGAGATTTTTTGAATAAAGCAGAGAATTATCTAGAACATGTGTGGAATTTCAATACTTTGAAAATATAAATGGTTTCCAGTTTTTAAATGGTTTAGGTGAAGTCTCATTTTAAATATGATCAGTGAGATTTAGGCAATCTGTCATTGTTCAGATTATTTTGCTCTGCGGTAATTTCTTTGAATTTGGAAGATCGTGTTTCAGAGGAGAAAAAAATGGTGTCAAGAGAGTAGTGTTCTTGGCTAATCCTCATGAAGTTTTCAGGTGGCAGAAGGCCTTAATGCCCTCTGGCTCTAGGTAAAGTTGATGAGCTGACCTGGCATCAAGGGAGTGAATAAAGGTTAGTTGAGTTAATCCATGTTCAGATGGTTCTATTGTTATTGCCTAAAGGACTTCAGACGACTGGCAGAAGGGCTTAGTTGAAGAGGAAGGCACATTGTGTTTGCATGTGTGTGCGTGCATACGTATACGTATATATCCAGGAAGTTGTAAATATGGTATATAGGCTTAACTCGTGGTGCTATCCCAGTGTTCATGCTACTAACCTCTCCTTGTTTCTAGCGGCTGGGAAAGCATCTTCTCCTTGATCCTTGTTTTATTTTTACGGTTCCTTCATTCTGCTTGTGATATTTTTCTGGTGATCCAGTATTTTCTGCTGGCCTGGCACTGTACTTTCATTCTAGTTTTAGAGAGCACATTCTGAAAACACTCAGACTTTATGTCTGCAATGCAAAGAAGTAGTATTCCTCAAGAAAGGATTCAACTATTTCCATTTATTTTTCTAATAAAGCATATATAAATCTCTGTTATAAGCCTTTGCTTCTGCTATGCTAATCACTGTGAGGCAGGATTTCTTTTCCCTCTGGTGCCACTCTGCCCTCCCCTTTTGCTGTTCTGTTCCTCTGATGGTGAGAAGAGCTGGTCATAGTTTGTCATGGATTAGCGCCTACGACAGTATTCTCCCTTCCCTCACCCATTAATCAAATACACCTGTCTCTAAGGTCGCTTCCTGTACCTCATACACACCATCCCCCATAGCACCTGAGCAATGGCGAGGGCTGCCTGCAGGGCCCTGGGATGGAGCCACATTCAGCCTAAGCGTTGTGAATTAACGGTATGGTGCTCAGTTTGTATAAATGGTACAATAATCTGTTGATCTCTGATAGCAAGGAACAATTCTTTTAAGCTTTGATTTCTGCCAACTCAGAGAATATTTTATCTTGGAAGGAGTTTTAAAATTGGCAGAAAGGCTTTCTGAAAGAGCTAATTTTATAGAATTTGGAAGCATGCTGAGGAAAACAGCCTAAATGGGCAATCAATTTACCTAGTGAACTTTAATCATTCTGGATCAGTTCAAATGTAAAAATGTCAAAATTGCTCCTAGTGGGTACTTATTTTATTGTTTTTACTACACTATTAGAAAGTAATATTTTACTATGAAAATAAAGCATAACTCTGTTTCCTCGTGTTTCAGGAAGTCCTAGAGTCATAATTTTACTTCCTTAGTAAGATAATTATGCACGGCCTAAATCACGCAGGAATAGCGAGCATATGTTTGTCACTAGGCAACAAATGAGCCTTTTGAGCCAGTTGAGACCCAGTGGTGTAACTGAGCTCCCTTCAGATCTTTACTCTCTAGCCAGGGTGGCTTCTGCATTCTCTGCCAAATACTCAAGGAAGGCCTAGTGGGGATGCGTTGCATTTCTTAGTTTGGCAAACCACGTATCTTTCCTTTACTTTAAAGATCATTAGTTAATACTTTAAAAATCATATATCCAATACTAAGAAGCGTTTAAGTATACGCACACACACACGAGAAATTAAACACTGAAATAATGATTAAAAAATCAATACAAAGGTAAGAATTCTACCAATAATCATTTTCAAAAGAATTGCATAATGGAGATCAACATTCTGTGTGAATATTTCTGACATTTATGGCAGAGAGGGACACCTGATGTCACTTTTTGATTGATAAATCAAAGAATCAATGAAAGCTGATAAGTTTGTCTGTAGAAACAAAATTTTTACTTCTTAATTTTTAGGAGAAATTCAATATGATACCTTTTTATTAAATGATATTTAGTCCAAAAAATCCAGATTTGGATTTAAAATAGAGATGTTTTTGTTGGAGCAAATTTAAACAAAAAGTGTTTTCTCTATCAGTCTTTTTTTCTATGCATTTTTACATGGTTACATGGTATCCCAATCTTAACATTTGATTTTATAACATTTCCCGACATGATTAAACATGTCTTAAGTATTATTTAAAATTATTATTACTCAATTCTGTGAATGTATGTTTTTTCATCCACATTCTCTTCATATTAGGGATTTAGTTTGTTTTCATTTTTTTATTATAAATAAGATGAACATTTTTGGACATAAATGTTTGTATTTTTAACTGTTTCCCAAGGAAAGCTTACTAGTACAAAAGTTACTAATTCAAAGGATAGGGACCCTGAAGTATCAAATTCTCTTTGGAGAGGTGATAGCAGTTGACATTGCCTTTCTTACTGCAGCCTCTGCGGACTTGAATAATAACATTTAAAATGGTGTTTGTTAATTTGGAAGTCTAAAATTTCCTTAGATTTGTATTTCTTTGATTGACAAAAGTTTTATTTAGATAGTAAATATAAATAGATGATTCTAATTATGATCCAGAGAAAACATTGTGCATTGTGGGAAAAGGTAAACTGATATCAATCATGTTGCTATTTTTTTTTATGGGGCTGGTACTTAACTAGCCCTATGTGAAAGGCATTGTGCCAGGGATTTTTCTCCCAACGAGGGGGCAAGTTTTACAGCTGTTTTAGAGAGCAGGAGAATGAATATCAGAGAGGTGTCATTATCAAGCCACAGAGGTGTAATTCAGAGGCTGAGCTGGTGCTGTTTCTCTCCCACTGTGTTTAAGTAACCTAGGGAACTGGGAAACAAATGCTGCTTGTTCTGTGCTCTCTTACCTGTAAGTTGTGTCAGTTGGTAATCACTAGGACTTTAGTACTAACAAATTTGCTAATACGTACATCAAAACCAGGTAACATTTGGGGCCCACAGGATAGTGGTGTCTGTGTTACACTGTTTAATTTAGAAGAATGGGCAGATTGAGAGGTTTCGAAGCATAGAGGCCAGCATCATTGCACAAATTTTCTTTCCAGATAATTCTTCTAACTGGTCAGCATTTATAGGTGAAAGCGTATGGCTGAATGATGAAATAATGACCCTGCCTTCATGTATAGTGAGTGCGAGGGCATAAAACATACTTGTTCCAGGGGCTGGCC